TTCTTGTTTCTTTTGCTGTTCTTGTATTGCTGCCATCAAATCTGCTAAGTTGTAGTTTGATTTGCCCCTTCTCGTTTCCATCTCTTTTTTTTCCTTTTCAGTCCCACTCTCTGACATCAATTTGTAACCTATCTGCTTGTTTGTTTGTTTCCGGTATAAATTTCTTCTGAGGATTTTCAGCGATAAAAGTCCTTTCTTTATTAAACCAGTTTATTCTTCCTTGATACAAATATTTAGTACACAGAAAGTTCCACAATCAGTACGTTTTTCGTCACTTTAAACTTAACAATTTTTATAATACAAGCTATAAATCACAGCGATTCACAATCTAGATAATTTCGCTCTCGACGAGTGCAAGACACTTTACGGATCGCTAGCTCGAAACTAACAGAATCATAAATTACACGAACTCAAAGTAACTGCTGCTCTCTCTTCATTAACCCTACTGGCTTTCACTGCCAGGCTTATATACCAACTAAGAGGACATCTAGGACTTCTCCGATCATTCGAGAAATTCATCACGCACGTCAGCAGCGTCACGTGACTTCCGCTGTCATTACAACAGCGTGTGTGGCCAAGGAGACGAAGCTAGCTAGCTTTCCGGCGAATCGTACTTGCATCAACTCCCTCATCGTAAACCCTCGATAAGATATCAAGGAAGTTTCAGACTAGAAAGAAATCTTCATATTGTTTGTAAGTTTGTGAAACTTTTGTTTATTAATCATTGTTTGTAATAACTATTTGTTATTGTAAGTTGTATTGTTATTGTAAATTGTATTCTTGTGTGTATATTTAAACGCATTTGTGTTGAAAACGAAAACTGTGTATCAGTTTTGTTGGCAAATATTACAATCTGACTATATGTCGGCATTTATTTAGATACTAAATCCAAAGTACAGTGTAACTACTAAATTTAAGTTATTTAACTCGGCTTTGGACTATTCGAAATTCTAATATGTAACACTTCTCACTTACCCTTTTTCCGCAATCGCATACACATAATGATTTTGTTTATTTCCAGTCTTTCCTCTGTTTATTAACTATCCGTTTTTAAACAACAAATATCCAGTATTTTGAAATGATACAATAATGGCTACAGTTACCATTACTTGAAACTTCTCCTACAATCCTTCTTTAAAGCAGAGAGCAATTACGATGGGCTAGTTGTGGGTTTGATTGTATATATTTTTTCTTGAGTAATAGCATCATCGGCACCATTCCTAAATCTTAACACGATAATGATAAGTCTTCAGTTTTGAATTCATAAAGTGAGTAAATTAATGGCAAAATATTATAAAAACTCAATTGGATTTTTATTTTTATGTTCAGTATTGAGCAAGCTACCAAAATCTATAACTATATATTGTTGTTGAAAACCATTATTATAGTTACTTCTCAGTGGTTATAATTCTTATATCTTATAAGTGGTTGTATCTTACTATTGATTTAACGACGTATTCATTTGCATGTATTACGGTATTTTTTTTTTACTTTGTTCTTACTACATATCAGTTAGCTTGATGAGAACCCCAAGAGTGTAGTTAGCAACTTGTTCAATATATTTAATGATATGGAAATAAAAACTAAACAATTAGCATTCATGCTTATCGTTGCCAGATTGTACTTTATCATTTCCATACCAGTCCTCAACAGGGTTTTCTTTCCCCGCTGATTTTTCCAAGCCCGTTCCCTTGGCTGTGGTTTCGCTAGATAGTAGATAGGGACAGTGGGAATCTCGTTAATCCATTCATGCGCGTCACTAATTAGATGACGAGGCATTTGGCTATCTTAAGAAGTCATAGTTACTCCGCCGTAATCAAACAGCGTAATACAGGCTGAGGGGAAACAATGTTATACTAGTCATAATTTAAATTTTATGTTCAAAAGATATGATCGAAGATGGGAAAACCTTTGATGTATGTATATAAGTATAATAGTACTGTATGTTGTATGCCCATGTAATTACTTCGCAGGATGTAGATGGATCTTCACCAAAATTGGTATGGAGGCTCATTAGGTCCATGCGGGGGTACATGCACATACACACACACACACACACACACACATATATATATATTACATTTCTTGTTTAATTTTCAGTAGGCCTTTCGGGCTCTGGTACATTTGGACTATTATATGGCAATTTCTTATTCGTACAATACCGTTACTAACTTACTTTGAAAGGAGCAAATCCACGGTCTCTGGCAGGAATCTTGACGTCCAAGTAACCTTCACGAATCACCATTGCTAAGTCTATTCGTTCAACTACTTTGTTTCTTGAATTAGAATATAACTACTACGTTAGAACAAATAAATGTTTTCATCTAACTTTGATCACTCCGAACAAGGTTATTCCTAGTCTACAATTATCACCAACCTTTGAGCGATAGATACAATTTTGTTAAATTATCAAAACATATAAAGTACCTATTGTTTTCTAATTTACTTTATCGTGAGCGCAGGATGAACTTCACCATTGTACAAAAAAAAGCGTACAGGCTACATGCAGAGAACAATTACTATCACACCAGTAAAGTCAAACTTTGTTCTATTATTTAAAATCAAACAGCGTAATACAGACTGAAGGGAAACAATGTTATACTAGTCATAATTTCAATTTTATGTTCAAAAGATATGATCGAAGATGGGAAAACCTTTGATGTATGTATATAAATATAATAGTACTGTATGTTGTATGCCCATGTAATTACTTCGCAGGATGTAGATGGATCTTCACCAAATTTGGTATGGAGGCTCATTAGGTCCATGGGGTATACAAATTTTCAGTTTTGCATTTTGCGGTTTTTATGGACGTTTTCGCGTTTTTTACCACTACTATGTCTCCTTTTGATGGATCTTTGGGAAAATACATAATTTCAGTTTTGCAGTTTGCGTTTTGCCGTGTTTATGGGCGTTTTGCGTTTTCTACTAATATTCACATCCTGTTGATGGATCTTCACCAAATTTGCATGAATGTTTGATGGGTCTATGTGGAGATACATGAAAATTTGCGGTTTCACAATTCTTATGGGCGTTTTTTACAATTACATATAAGAGAAGCAACTTTTCAGGTCCGAAGATAACCTTTCATTAATCATGAATTTACATAACTTCCGTCCAGGAGACGGATACTCCAACTAGTTTATATAAATATAATAATACTTACACTAATTGGGTTCATGTTCCTTACGTGGTGGTACATTCATGATGTCAGAAAAACATGTAGGGTCAAAAAGTCTTGATACAATATGATAAATAGTATAATAGTACTGTCTCTTGTATGTCCATGTAACTATTTCGCAGGGTGTGGATGGATCTTCACCAAAATTGGTAAGGAGATTCATTGGATCCATGTGGGGATACATACAGATTTTCAGTTTTGCTGTTTTTATGGGCATTTTTTACTACTACTTCGCCCCTGTTGATGGATCTTCACCAAATTTGGCAGGTGTGGTTTCACATTTTATGTTTTACAGTTTTTATGGGTGTTTTTGCGTTTTTTTACAATTACATTTTATTGTCCTAAGATAACCTTTCATTGATCATTTACATAACTTCCGTCCAGGGGACCGGTACTCCAGCTAGTTTGTAATAAGTTATTCCTCCGAATGGCACTAAGCTGTAAGAAAAAAACTTTATATTTCATATTTTCTTCTCCTTTTTTTAGAAGCTGACTTAAAGTTTATATTAAAGATTGGAAATGCTTTAGCCAAAACCCTAATTAGCTAAATCAAACATTTTTCGAACTGGAGGTCCCGACCCAAAAGGTAGTCGTAAAACTATCTAGAGGAGTCTCGAGATCATAAAGTAATATTATGATAACTGATATTTTAGAGCAAGTACAATAATTTTCAGTCACTTTGTATGTGTGGGTGGGGGATTGTCACAGCCTGAAACATTTACGTGGGCTAACTAATTCCTCAGCTGCTATATCATAGTCACATATCACAGCATAATTTTTCTAATTCGTTACCAAGAGCCCGAGCGGATTATGACCTGTAGGTGACACTGTTACGAGACATGCAATTTCAGCCAATCGCAACTTATTAAGATATTCAGCCGGTTACTTTTACAACCACAGGTGAAGATGGCACTGAACGAACACGATAGAGACAGACAATAAAATATAAACGGGTTTATATTGATTAGAAGTATGCAGAAAAGCGAGTTTATTAGGTAGTTTATAGCACACTTAATATAGTTTCCAAATAACATGGTAGGTTTGTGTGTTTGTTGTTAAGCGCAAAGCTACTCAATGGACTATCTGTGCTGTGCCAACCACGGGTATCGAAACACGTTTTTTAGCGTTATAAGCCTCCAGACTTACCGTTGAGTCACTGAGGAGCGACATTGTAGAATGTCGACATGATCTTGAGAAGCGAATTATCCTAACTGTAGGCTCTCCCATTGCTACAGAGTTATCGATACCGTTAGTAATATTAATATTTATGACCTATTTCACATCTTAGTTTGTATTAATTACTAAGTTCATGATTTACTAATCATGGTTATATATTACTTGACTTACATTGGTTGCTATTCTACATGTTTCAGTACGTTTATGACTAATTAATAAATTTAAATTTATTGACAAATATAATGCAATATTTTACAATAATGTAAATTTGACAATTACATTAAAGTGTTACGTCTCCGTTCGTTAGTTGATTTTCCGTAACTTCGTTCCGACGAAGCTTTAGCGACACAAGTCCTTTCTTAAATAAAACTGGTTTATTCTTTCCGAATATAACTTTACCGATACACTTATTTTCAACAGTCGCTCTATAACAAACGCTATAACAACGAATGTTAACTTCAACAATACTTTCTGACTGCAGTTCAATTACTCACTTTTTACACACATTGTCACGTCACGCTGTGACCATCTTATATATACCAGCCCACCCCCAATCTAGCAAATGCTAGAGCACTCCCGAAGGAACAAGATAGTTCTAGAAAACGGGTGGCGTGATACTAGTCACGTGATCTCGCTGACGCAACA